CTTAGACTAGCTTGGCACTTAAATCTTGGTACAAACAAGCCTCCTGCTGAGAAGAGAGGTGGCAGTCCAGAGGTCATGAACACAGCCTTGCCTTGGGTGCTGGGGGACAGTGGGGCGGCTGTGGAGGGTGAAGAGGCACCACTGAAGCCAGCCTGCTGACTGATGCTAACCATTGGGTGAGTTACCTGCCAAGCCTCAGTTTGCTTATCTGTAAAATGGGAAAAATGGCACCTACAGCTTTGGGTTAGAAAAATATGAGTTAAGACAAGCACCTGAGACATTGTGGCCTTTCTCTATATGCCTATTATCATTGTCAGAGATACGCAGCTTCTCAGGGAGGGCCTTGCCAAATTATCTGGAGTGGGTTTGGTTTTCTAGGGGTGGCATACCCCCTCTGCTCCACTGACCTCATCAATTCACCAGTGCTCAAGGCTTCAGCCCAGCCTGTAGCTTTCTAACCAGGCCCTGCACTGGGTTATATATAACTGTATAAAAACTTTAGGAAGCACCTACTATGTGTCTCCAGGACTGCTTATGCATATTTTCATCAAGTACATCAACCCCCATGAAGCAGTTATTTAGTTTATAGATCAGAAAGTTGAGGTTGAGCTGGGTGCTCAGGAGGCTGAGGCAGGAGGATCATGAGTTTGAAGCCAGCCTCAGTGATTTAGGTAGGCCCTAAGAAACTCAGTGAGACCCTGTCTCTAAATAAAATACACAAAAAGGCTGGGGATGTGGCTCAGTGGTTAAGTGCTTTCTGGGTTCAATGCCCAGTACCAAAAAAAAGAAAAAAGAAAAAAGTTGAAGTTCAGAGAACTGATCTGACAATCCCACGTTCACGGAATCCTAGATTCAAACACAACTCTGTTGTATAGGTTGATGAATATCCCTAATCCAGAAATCCAAAATTCTCCAAAATCCAAAACTTCCTGAGAGCCATATCTGCATTCCAAAAGTTTCAGCTTTTGGAGCATGGATTACAAATTTTTAGATTAGGGGGAGTTCAATCTGTAGTCTATGCAAATACTAAATAATAATAATAATAAAATTAAAAAACCTCACAAAAATAAACACACACAAAAACAAAACAAAACAAAAACAAAAAACCACCTCCAGAATCTGTAACACTTCTGGTCTGAAGCGATTTGGGATTTTTTTTTTTTTCCAGTACTGGCGATTGGATCCAGGGGTACTCTACCACTGAGTTATAACTCCAGCATTTTTATTATTTATTTATTTATTTATGTATTTATGTATGTATGTACGTATTTATTTAAAATTTTGAGACAGGGTTTCACCAAGCTGGTGAGGCCTTGAACAGGCCTTGAACATCCAATTCTCCTGCCTCAACCTCTTTGAGTCCCTGGGATTATAGTCATGTGCCGCCACACCTGGCTGTTCCAACAGTTTGGATAAGAGTTATTCAACCTGCATTCGAAGCCACAAACACTACAGGACCCCCAAAAAACTGCCAAGCACCCATGGCTGGCAGTGTGTCCAGACGCAGAGCTAAAGCAATGGAGGGAACCTAGGGGAACAAGCCAGAGGGGGCGTTCTATATTATCTCCAAAGGAAGCAATGGAATGATTAAGGGAAGCAGGCAAATGACTCAGCTGTTCCATTCCCTCCTGGCTGGAGAGGGTTCTGCAAACGAAAATTCCAAATGCCAACTGCAGCGGCAGTGATTCAGCCTGAGTTAAACAGAGAGTGGAAGTCAGAGTGTTGGAGAGGAACTTCTAGGCCCCAACCGACTGGTGAGTTTGGTGAAGAAAGAACCCACCTGCCTGACCGTGGCCTGTTCTTTGCTCTAACAGGAAAGGCTACAGCCCAGCCTGTGGCTTTCCTAACCAGGCCCTGCACTGGGTGAGAGGGCTCTGTCCTGAGGTGTGCTATTAGCAAGCCCATGGCCTTCCAGATCTAGAGCCACTTCCTGCAGCTGACCTTTATTGCAAAGGCCTTTCCATTGGTTCCACAGGAAGGTGGGACTCAGAGTGTTTGGAATTGGATCCAGCTCCAACAGCTGGTGCTTAATGGAGAATGTGAGTAAGAGGCAGGTGACACAGAGCTTTGAAACCCAGGAAGGGAAGGGTTTTATTTAAGTTGTATTGAAGCCTGCTGTATCTCTGCATCACCAACCTGAGTTTTCAGAAGACTTATTTGCACAAACTGTTATGTGCCAGGCTATATGGGAAATGACTAAATAGACTCTATTTTTTCCTGAGACTCCATGTCATGTAGGAAATGCTTCTCCGGTGGGAACACCCTGCCTCTGTCCCATCAACAGTTGCTTAGCATAGCATACGACTACAAAGGTGTACTCTAATTCTTGGAGGGTGTCAAAGGGTGTAGACTTGCAGCTTGCCCCTTGGCCCACCAGCTGGTGAATCCGGACTGCTGGCTGGTGCATAAAGATGGTTTGGTCTCCTGCTTTAAAATCAACTCGGTGATTTATTGCAATCTCGCCATAACAAAACAACCTATAGAATTTTGCCTTATCTACTGTGATTTCTTATTACCCCCTATGGACTTTATCTTCAGATTTGGGGTTATCTCAATGTTTGTTGATTGAGGCACTTGAGTTTTATTGTGTAGTTGTTAGATAAAACATTTTTTGTCATCAGTTTCTTATTTAAATAACTACTAGCAATAACCACATGGATATAATTAAGCTATCCAGTATAAAATCTATTCAGATTATCTTGGAGTTAAGGGTGGGAAATCTGTTAAGCTTTTCCTCTTCAAAAGGATACATACATGTAAAAATGTGATTATATTCCATAATTTACAAAACATAATGACAAAATCTCTTTCCCTTCTAAGTACCTTCAATACATAATAACAAAAGCTAACTTTTACAGAGCAAATTATCATGATTAGGCATTTAGAATATCTTATGTAATCTTGCCAATCCAAGTGAGTAGGTGCCATTACTATTCCCATTATATAGATTAAAAGACTGAGGGGCTGGGGCTGTGGCTCAGTGGTAGAGCGCTTGCCTGGCATGCATGAGGTGCTGGGTTCAATCTTCAGTACCACATAAAAGTAAAATAAAGGTATTGTGTCTACCAACAACTAAAAAAATACATTGAAAAACAAAATTGAGGTCCAGAAAAGTTTCATTCACACAAACAAGTACATGTCAATCCAGGACTCAGTCCCAGGTGTAAGTCCAAATACCTGGCTCTTACCACTATGATGGTTTTCTACAGGATGGAAAAATATTTTTCCTCTACCCTCTTGGTTCCTGTATCTATACCTGGGGCCTGTGAATTAAACTGACAAAAGAGTAACAGAAGAAAAGAATTATTACCCACATGTACATAGGGTAGAAAGGAAGGGGTAGCCCAAAGAAGTGGTTAGGCTTGAGAACTTATATATGCCACTTACCAAAGGGTTATAAATTGTGGAAAAGTGACCAGAGAAAGGGGGAAAATGTTTGGGTTTCTAGGGACAATCAATTATGGGAAGGTAAATAAATAGGAGAAACTGCAGGAAGGCAAGATTTGTTAGGCAGACTGAAGTTAGTACCTTCTCAGTAATGAGTTCTCCTTTTCTTGGCATGGGACAAGAGGAAGGACATCTTCACAATGGGAAATTTATACTCTGATTTTAGGCAGGAAGGGGCAGACAGGGTTTCTTTTATGACTGCTGTTTCTCAATTGCTTTTGCCTCAAAATAATTCTTACACCATAAGTTGCATATTTTGGGGTGGTATCTCCTTTAGTTCCCATTACATATAACACTATTTTAAAAGTTTCACATATTTATCAGTTCCCTATGAGGATTTTGGTTGTTTTTTTTACAGTACTGGGGGTTAAACCAGGGTGCTGTACCACTGAGCTACATCCCCACCCCTTCTTATTTTTTATTTTTAGATAGGGTCTCACTAAGTTTTGAGGTGGATGTCCTGCCTCAGCCTCTAGAGTTGCTGGGATTACAGGCCTGAGTCAACATGCCCAGCTATCAGGCCATATTATATGCTCAATATTAGAGGATCCTTGGGCTGGATTTTTGCCCTCAAGGAGCTCACAGCTAAGTGTGTGTGTGTGTGGGGGGGGGGGGGCTTCCTAGTTGCAGATAAGCCTCTCTGTGGGGAGAGTTTCCCCTTGCATTTGGACATAGTTTCTAAGTTTCAAGTGCTTCACACATTGAAGCATTGTTCTTCTGCTTGATAATCACAAATAACTCAAGGAGGCAGTCTGGTTCTCTTATTTCTATTTGATAGAAAACTTACTTAGAAGTCAAACAACTTGCCAAAAGTTATCCAGCTTGGACATCTGTCTGCTTTGTAGCTACATGCACACACACACACACACACACACACACCATGTGTATATATAGCATTCACTTGTGGAGCTGCTACTGACTCTGACTTTGACTCCTTATGCATTTACACCAACGAACATTAGGCTGAGGCTATCTCAAGGAAAATTTATTTCCCCCCAGTCTATGACTAATACTCACAGGCTATTCACATGCATACATAAGCACGGCCCTTGGACAGAATGTCCAGGTCTCTCATGAAGAACAAGTGAACTGATTGAGGTGGGTCCAGCAGGATTTCCTTTGGTGGTTATCATGTTACCTATCAGCCCCTGATATTGTACATTTGGTAGAGACCAAAACTTCATCATTTCCTTCAGGGCCATTACAAATCCAGACCAGAATTCTGTTTTCCAAAATCTTCTACGACACTGCTAAGTGTGCCAGAGAAACATGGATTGGTTCTAACAGCCATTCCCAACCAATCCTCTTCTCCTTTGCTTCGCCACTGTGGAGAATGAGTAGTCAGACACTTTTTTCTCCGGGGCTCTGCAGCGAGGAGTGGTTACTAAGGCAATGAGGGAAGTGTGCTGGCGCAGGGGGAGACTGTTGGGAAACATTTTCTCTCCCTGATAAAAGGAGAGAAAGGCTGAAAAAGGTTTTCTCTCGCAGCCTGGGCCAACTCCTTGCTTTCTGTTTCTGGGTAAGATGGACACGTACAGGCTGGAGGAACCGAAGAGTAGCGGGAGCAGCCGAGGGGCAGGGCTGGAAGGAGCGCGCTGCGTTAAACTGCGGGTTCGGCCTTGGGGCGTGGCTTTCCCACCATAGAGGCGAGCCCTGACGTCAATGGGCGGGCCACGTTCTGGGGCGTGGCCTCCGGGCTTCAGAGCACTGCCTGTCTAGGGCGGGGCTGGAGAGAAAGGGTGGGGCCGCGCTCCGTCGGGGCGTGGCCTGTGGAACCCGAGAACCCCGGCGACACGGGGCCCCGGCGCGAGTCGGGGCGCGGGGTTCCTCCCACGCAGCCTCTCATTCAAAAGATGCCGAAGGGGCGGCGCGGCAGTCAGAGCCCCACGATGAGCCAGCGGCCGGCTCCGCCCCTCTATTTCCCTTCCCTCTACGACCGCGGCATCTCCTCGTCCCCGCTCAGCGACTTTAGCATCTGGAAGAAGCTCTTCGTGCCGCTGAAGGCGGGCGGGGCGCCGGCCGGTGGGGTGGCTGGGGACCGACCCCTGCCTCAGGGACCTCCGGCCCCGGCCCCTCCGCCGCCGCCTGGCCTCGGTCCCCCCAGCGAGCGCCCCTGCCCTCCGCCGTGGCCCTCCGGCCTGGCCTCCATCCCCTACGAGCCACTGCGCTTCTTCTACTCGCCGCCGCCGCCGGGCCCCGAGGGGGCTGCTTCACCCCTGGCCCCCGGCCCCGCCACCCCACGGCTTGCCTCCGCCTCCCACCCGGAGGAGTTGTGCGAGCTGGAGATCCGAATTAAGGAGCTGGAGCTGCTCACCATCACTGGGGATGGCTTCGACTCCCAGCGCTGTGCGTGACCCCCTCAGGGGCCACCTGAGCCCATCCTTTTTTGCCCTGGCTCCCTCGTTGGCTCCATGCTGAGCCCCACAATGTGGCTTTAGGCTCAGACTCCAGTCCCCAGGAGTCCCTGATCCAAAATCTGTCCCCCAGAACCCAGACCCGCGCCCCCATCCTGGATTTCAACCGACTCCTCCCTGCAACCACACTTCTGAAATTTTTGGACCCTTTAGTCTCAAACTACATCCTGAACTATTCTGTTAATCTGGATTCTAAACCCCACACCTGAAACATCACCAGCCACTACCCGAATTCTGAACTTTAATCCTGCACAATAATATCCCATCCCTGAGTATGGAGCTTCACCTACCACAGACAGCTCTTATCTCTAGAGAAGTTAACCTTTAATGTTCACTCTTAAACTGGAGTCTTCTGGAGGGAGGTGGGGGAAGTAGGTGAGGATCAGTTGTAGTGTCTGTAAGGGGAACCCCAGAGACATTCACTTTTCAGTGCTGGAGGGCTGCCTCCCTGTGTCCCTTTAGTCCCTCACCAAGGTCCTGGACTTTGCCATCTGGTTTTAGATTCAAAGTCTTAGGGATATAGACCAGGCCAGACCAGGTGTGCTCATGTGGGCAGGTATCCTCTGGTGTGGGAGCCAATTTCTCCATGTCGAAGGGTAAGATGGTTTGGGGCCTATTGCACAGTAGAGTGTTCAGTAGCCATAAACTGCCCTTTCCCATCCCTGTTCTGGCTAAAGACCACTCCAACTGCCCCCCAATATCACCACATTCACACAAACCAAACTGGTTGCCCTTGCCACACAAGGAAGGGAAGTATGAAATAACCTAAGTGCTTAGGTCCACGGGGCCATGAGAATAGTTCTGATTCATCAGACACCCTGTAACATACCTTTTCTTATAGCCATGGAAGGAAAACAATCCCTAGAAAACTTGGGTTTGTCTAACTCCTGGATTTCTTTATTTTAAAAAAATTTAAAATTTATGTGGTGCTGAGGTTCAAACTCAGTGCCTCACGTCCTAGGCACGTACTACCACTGAGCTACAACTCCAGCCCAAACTCCTGGATTTCTTGACACTGTATTTCCCCATTAGATGTGTTTTGGCTATTAGGTTTTTCCCACCCACTCCTCACCCCTGCCTTGGATCACAGATGGTTTGGGGCTCACATAAGGAGCACAGTTGCTTCCTAGAAGCTTGCTTAGGAAGAGTTAGGCAAAGTCCTCCTTTCTACTACAGCTGTTTGTTTTGCTCTCCTGCAGATAAATTCCTGAAGGCGCTAAAAGATGAGAAGTTACAAGGACTGAAGACCAGGCAATCTGGAAAAAAGTCGGCCTCTCTGTCCTGAGCTGCTGCCCTCCAGAGCTGGGAAGCCGCCTCCATAGGTGTTAGTGCTTAGATAATGTCTCCCATTTGTTGTCATTTCAAAGATGGTTATTTTCTGTTCTGTATTTACTGCTGTTCTTGTTGCTCCCAGCACATACTTCACATACAATACCCACTTGTGTGGTAAATCTCATGGTCTCTCTCCTCTGTGCCGCTGCTGGGGGAAGTCCCTTATAGGGTATTGAAGCTGCTGCTAAGCCAGCATTCAGAGTTTCCTGACATGAGAGGAAGGGCCCCCCAATATCACCATATTCACACAAACCAGAAGGATGGATGTGTAGGAGGGAATTAGAAGAAACCAAGGGCAATAGATATTCGGTTCTGCTGCTGTATCTCTAGAGGCTCAGAAAGGTTCTTTGAGGACCAGAACTAAAACCAGATGTTTTTCCCCTAAAAACATCTTTTAGTCCATGCGAGTGTTTAGTGTTTTATATTTTGCTTTAAAAAATATTTTTTTTTGGAACACAAAACTCTCTACTAGTCTTATCAAAGCCATGATCCTTCCTAGAAATTCATGTGTAGTATTCAAGAAACACTTGTCAAGTGCTGTTGTATGTCCATGCCCCTTCCTTAGAATGGGGTCAGGAGACAGACTGACAGGTAGTATTTTAAATAAGCAAACCACAATATGGTATCAAGAAGATAACATGCTTAGGAGGATAAAACAAAGTAGTAGGGTAAGAAGAAGATCAGAGGAAGGCAAAGCAGAATTTCAAATAGGGTTTCTTTTTGGAGGGGAGGGGTATTGGGGATTGAACTCCGCAGCACTCAACCACTGAGCCACATCCTCAGCCCTATTTTATATTATTTAGAGTCAGGATCTCACTGAGTTGCTTAGCATTTCGCTGTTGCTGAGGCTGGCTTTGAACTCTAGATCCTCCTGCCTCAGCTTCCCCAGCTGCTGGGATTACAGGGTGTGCTACAGTATCCAGCTCAAATAGGGTTTCTTGAGAGGTACTTTTCAACAAGGTTTGGAAGAGATTGAGGGTCATAGCCATGTAGAAACCTGGAGGAATGTTCCAGGCAGATGGGCCTAAGGGGGAGCATGCCAGCATTGTTGAAAGGCAGCCAACAGCCCAGATGACTGGAGCAGGAGGTGAGAAGAGAGAGTGGTGGGTGTGAGTCCAGAGGGGGCCCATGTGTGTAGGATCTTACAGCCCTGATGAGGACATCAACCTTTACTCCAAGTGGCAGTGGTTAGATGGCTTTCAGCCAAGGTGTGACATGATCTGACTTGTAGGTTAAAGATTCTTCCTATGCCTGTGAATAGACCATAGGGCTTTCAGCTGGCAAATGGGAAGAGCATTTAAGAGGTTGTAGTGATTAGTGGCCCTAAAAAAATGATGCTGCAATGAGGGGGTTGGAATACAGGGTTACTGAGGTCTGAGACAGGAGACCACAGGTTTGGGGGAGAAGATCAGCTATTTAGTCTGAGATAAGTGAGGCTCGCCTGTCTAGACATCTAGACTTGGTAATGGAGATGCTATGTAGCTGGAGGCTATTTAAGCCTGGAGTTCAGAGGAAGGCTTGGACTGGGGCTATAAGTTGCGGAGTTGCTGGGCGTGTAGGTGTATTTGAAGGGTGAGATCAAGTGAGACCAGCAAGGGAGTGAGTGTAGGAAGAAAGAGAGCCAATTATAGAGTATCTCTAATCCCAAATCCAAGATGCTCCAAAACCAAAAACTTTTTGAGCATATGTGACACCATAGTGGAAAATTTACATCATGAAAGTATTTTATGGACAAAATTACTTAAGATATGGTATAAGACTTCCTTCAGGTTATGTGTTGGCCCCCTTTCCAACACTGTTGCATTGAGGATTCATTTTCCAGTGTGAATTTTGGAGGGAACAGGAACAGACCATAGTGGGAGTGGTGGTGGGGGGATTTAGCTCCTAGCAGAGAGATTGGCTTTAGAGGAGAGTACGGATGATCCATCTGCAGTGATAGGAAGCTACATCTATGGTATAGGGGTGTAGATGCCAGTGAGTAAGTCAGGTGGTGGGAACCCTGGGAGTTGTATATTCACACACACAAGCATGTGCAGCAACCTCCAGCTTAAGGATGCAAATGCGCATGCCTGCAAGTCTGGAAACCCTGCAACTGAAGACAGGAAGCCGAGGGAGACTATGGGGAACAGACACCTAGCTCCAGTCAGTATTGCCAAGATAGGAATGTGGGCACAGGGTAAATAAGGGCTCCTTGTTTCTCAATCTCAGCAGTGAATTCAGATGTTTACAAAACACTATGCAGGTACGTAGACCAAATAAAGACTATATAAATTCTCCCTAGAGTTGGCAGACTCAGCTCTGCCTACAGGAGCCCTCCCATCCTGCGTGGGGATTTGGAGCCCTATCTCTCCTTCCTGGAAGATGCCAGATTCGAGCCCAGGCTGATTGCTGCTAGAGAAGCTCTCTTGCTTTCCCAGAAAATTTCAGGCTCACCAGACCAGTAATGGGAAGGGGCTGAAGAATCTTAACGAGAACAAATAAGAATAAACCAAGCATGGAGAAAACCCAGCACAGAGATCATATGTAGACAGATATGTCCAGGGGGCCTTGTTTTTCCATTCTCTCTCCAGAGTCCAGACAGCCCCACCCAGAACATACTCATAAAGTGGCCATTTAGTAAGTTCCCACGTGTGCTAGGCACAGGAAGGCAGTTGATGTGAGTGATCTCATCTGCTGCTCCCCACCACCTTGTGACAGATGGGTCCTATTCTTGGCATGTTTTAAAAGTGAGGAAGTAGGGTCTCTGAGAGGTTAAGTGACTTACCCTCAGGCACAGAGCCAGGACATGGCAGAGCCAGGGTGGAACTCAGGTCTGTAAGACTGCTCAAATGATCCTCTGTGAGGTACAGATGCAGAAGCTCCTAAAACAGATGCATCTGGCATTTCTTCCAAGAAGTTCAGATCCCTTTGCATCTCTTCGTGCCTTGGGAATAACAGGTGACAGGGCAAGCCATCAAGGACAGTGATCCCGGTATCTTCTCAGCCCTGATGCCTCAGTTCCCCTCCACACACACACAGCTGTAAGTGAACTTGCAGCAGGGTCCCCCACTCAGGACCCCCTGCTACAGTACAGGTGAGCCAGGCAGCTGCCATTAGACCTCCTTCCCACCAACTCCCACTGGCCCATTTCCTGCAGACCAGAGCTGGAGAAGCAAACAGGTTCACAGCTTAGTCTTAAAGTCCCAGCTCTCATTAGCACTTGGGAGTTCTTGTGGAGGCCTTGAATGGGCTCAGTGGGGGCCAGGGGTATGGGTGGGGCAGGGGTGGCCTAAGTGCCGTCCATGTGGCATATGTCTTTTCAACCCAGATTTAAATTCTGGGTTTCCAGTTTCAGGGGAAAAAAGAATCTGGAAAAGGCCAAAGAGGAGTTCACAGTAGGAGCATATAATCAATACAAAATTTCAGAAAGGATGTACAGGTTCTGGAGATCTGTTGTACAGCATGTGACTATAGTTAATAATCATATATTATGTTAAAACAATATAATCTCTACTTAATGGCAATTTCTAGGCATCACACATAACATTAAGCTTTTTACATGGACCATTTCACTTAATACCCATAATGATCCTATAGGGTAGAGACTGCTATCCTCATTTTATAGGTGGCCAAAATTGAGGCACCAAGAAATAAAGTAATGTGGCCACAATATTACAGCTAGTAAATACAATTCAGACAGGGGCCAGTTCCAGAGCCTGCATTCTTACTTGCTGGGCCACAAAGCCCCCATGTGAACACCCTGAACAGAGCAGAGTGGGAAGTGTGGGTGATGGTAAATTGGGTTCTGGCAGGAAACAGTGACACACAAAAATTGGATAATTCAAAAGAGTTTAATAAAGCAATGGTGCTAGGCCAGGGGCAGTGACGCACGCCTGTAATCTCAGCTAAAATCAGAAGGCTGAAGCAGGAGGATTGAAATGAAGTTTAAGGCCTGCCTTACCAATTTAGCAAAACCTTGTCTCAAAGGAGGGTGGTAGCACTGGGGATATAGCTTAGAGGTAAAACACTCTTGGGTTCAATTCCCAGTACTCCCTCACCCCCAGCCCTCAAATAAATAAAGGGAACTGTACTACAGACTGACTGATTGTGCCTCTTACATGTTGAGACCTATGCCTGACGTGATGGTGTTAAGAGGTAGGGACTTAGAAGGTTGATTAGATCTCGAGGTAAGACACTTATGGATGAGATAAATGCCCTTATAAAAGAGTCCCCTCTCTGGGGACTCTCTGGGGACTCTTTTATAAGGATATTAATCTCAGCCAAAAGGCCTTTCCTTCCCTCCTTCCACCATGTGAGGTCACAGCTAAAAGGCACTATCTAGGAACCTGACCCTCATCAGACAGAATCTGGCAGCACCTTGATCTTGGACTTAGCCTCCAGAATTATAAGAAATAAGCTTCTGTTGTTTAGAAGCTATCCAACATAACTCCCCATTACCGACAAAGACAGGCTCTTGACTATGAAAGGCAGGGCGGGAAACCACCAGCAAGAGTAAGGGGAGGGAGGAACAGAGAGCCTGTGGTAAGAGACCCTGCAGAACAGGAGGTGTGGCCCTTGCATAAAGCCACAATCAGTCCCAGTGACCCTGCCGGGAAGGAGCACAACCTGCAAGAGATCAGGGTGAGGAGAGTAGGTCCAGGATATTTTAATAAGCATGAATACTAGCAGGCATGTGTTTGGGACTGGCTGGGTTGCTGCCCACAACTTACCAAGTAAGGGTGGGTGAGTGGGGTGAGTTCCTAGGAATGCATGGACCCAGTCCTGGCATCTACCACTCGCCCCACAGCTTGCCCAGTTTTGGTCATAACTCCTGTTATCAGCATCCAGTAGGATGGGGATCGTGTGATTGTCAGCTTCTCCAGAACAACATGGAATGGAAGAGGTTGTTCCCCCAAAGGAAAATATGCATGGGGAAGTGTGATGGCAGGAACACCCATTGCCGGGTATACTGGATAAGCAGGGTGGCTTGGAGGAACCAGTATGTGTGGCTCACAAGAGCAGATTATCCGATGTTCAAGAATTTTGTGAACTGTTAAACACAACTATTATTAAAAAATTAAATGGCATTAACTTACAATTGAACTCTATTTAAAACTAAGATAAATATTGACAGTTCATCATTTCCTATATATGTATATATGTATATGTATATTGCTATATTTTACTATTATCTGTGCTCTTGAGGCTGTTTATGCCTAATGCATCTGTAGGTTGGCAATAACTACGTAATGGTATGCCCATGTGAATGCCTTCCTAATGATGTTGTGTTGGCACCTTGAAGTTGGCCACAGTGAGAGTATGTACATATGGAAATTGTCAGATTATGGAAACTGGCAGATCAGGGTTGTTTTTGCCACCCCCCCCCCAACAAGAGTTGGGTGTTTAACACTTATTAGCACAACTCCTGCTAAGTGGGGGACAAAAGCACCACTTAATTTATGGCTGAGTTGAGAGACTGTTGCTTCAGAATGTTCAAAGTTGAGCTGAAAATAGAAGTGAGGCTTGCAGCTGCTTCCAGCCTGGTTTGCCCACTCAGTGACAGATGTGGACAGGCAGGAAAGAAGTTGGTCCTGCCTGCCCGCGATGACAGGCTGACCTGGGTCTGCCTATTATACAGACTCAAGGAGAGGATGGAAAAACGCAGGATGGTACTGACTGTCTACTGATGGAAATGGGGCCAAGGAATGTTCTAGACCTGACCTATCAGATTAGCCATTTCTACCTTCCAGAAACCAGGGTAAGCAGAGGAACAGCCTGTAGAGGAGGGCTGAGCCCTTCCCCTCCAGCGGCAGCTGAGGGAGAGGATGGAACATGAAACCTAATAGAACACGCGGCCAGCTATTTATATCATGATCTCTCTTTTCCATCCTGACCCTAATCCTGACAGCAATACAGATTCCAGCATGTTGGAAAAACTTTCTGCTATCTTAGTCATCTTTGCCTCCTGACATGTGACAAAGGAGTCAGGCCTGAGGGTCTGTGAGGGCTGGTTTCTGGGACCAGGAGGAAGAGAGATCCAGTGGCTGCTTCAAAGCTTCCTATCCCACTGAGAGCTATGCTGGTGCCTCAGGACACTGGCCTTTTCCCTTCAGTGATATCCTGATTCTGTCACTCACCAGGTATGTGACCTTAGGAAAGTTACCTAACCTTTCTGAACCTATTTTCTCATCTGTAGAATGGAGACCATTCTCCCAGGATGGCTGTGTGTGGTGGGTGGACGACAAATAAGATGACAGACGGGAAACTTCCACGAATTGGGAGTCCCAGTCTGGGGAGGATGCAGCCCCCACTGTTGAGCTGCACGGGTGTAGGAGTGGTGGGGGCCGCCAGGCATGAGCTGGAGGGAGGCCAGGCCAGCAGGAATGGAGAAGCGCTGGATTTTCCCCACCCTAGAGCTCAGCCCTCACCCAGTGGTGAGGGGGTGAGTGCCTGGGAGGGAGGCAGGCTGGGGCGAGCGTAACTCTACTAGAGCGAGCCAGCACATTCTTCCCAGGCAGGACGGCATCTCACGTCCAACAAACAAGACCAAAAGGCTCCACCAGAGGTGGTGCGGAAGGGAGGGCCGATGGCCATTAACGGGTCCTTTCATTCCATCCATGGATATGAGCACACCCATGGAGATGGCCACGTGGCACCTGGAGGGAAGGTGACTAGACAGGAATCCAGAAAATCTATGACATAAAGCAGGAGAATCTCCTAGTCCAGGGCTCTTTTGGTAGTGCGTGCAGGGGGAAGGGAGGACAGAGGGCCACCCTAGCTAGCTAGCTTCCTTAAGTAAGGAGCGTGGCGGACAGTAGGGCTCTTTGGTTATAAGCAATAGAAACTAACCAAGGGGAACTTCAACAATAGCTGTGCCAACATTTAGGAGGAACAGAAGGGGACACTGCTGCTGTCCAACTCAGCTCCAGCTGCCATTTCTTGGAGAGCAAATGCGTTTGGCCCAGTCTGTGTCACGCTGCCATCTCTGTCCACGTTGGGGAGGTGATGAGGGTTCTGTGGTTGCAGCCCTTCCCCACCTTGAACCATTTGGAGCTGGAGAGCAGTTTCCTACCCAAACAAGGACCCTGGCAGACAATGCCACCGCATGTCCCCTTCCTGAACCTCACGTGGATTGGCATCTGCCTGGGAGCCACCAGGAATCCAGGCCGCTCACCTCCCAGCTTGTTCTGCTGCCCCCTCCTGCCTTTTGCAGTCAGCTTCCTCACAACTGAGCTCCTGGGTAGCTCAGAGGAGTGACGTTGGGTTCCAGGTGGACACAGTGGTGAGCAGGAGGTTCTCTCTAAAGAAGAGCAGTGTGTGGTCACATGACCCTGGTTTATGTGTCCCCAGATTGTGAATCACTCTCCAACTCTGAGTGCTGAGTGAAAGAAGGGCCAGAGAGAGGCCAGGTAGAACCTGCCCTTGGAAGGAAGCAGAAACCGAGATGTACTCCCCTCCCAATGGCTGGGGTGTCACTTCTTCTAGGGAGTCTTCCTGGATTCTTCTCCCCAGCTTGGGTTCTGTGTCCCTGCTCTGAGCTTCCTTTGCACTCGGAGCCTCCTGCCTCCTGGGACTTATCACCAGCTCCCCCGCTCCTCTGTGACCGGGGCAAGGGCTGCTGTCATCATCGTCCTCCTGAGCGTGGGGTTTTTGCACAACACTCCTGTGCTTGTTGAGTATGTGGATGGCTGTGGACCAAAAAAAGAAACACAGCTTCTGGTCTTACAGTGTGACTTTTGGCCCAATCTGTTGAAACATTAATTTGCATAATCACAAGAAAGGATGATCACAAAGTCACAAGAAAGGATGATCTAGATATAACAATATCCTAGGGACCATCTGGGTCAGGTGGCTCTTTATGACAGCATGGATTTCATGGTGCCTTGAGTTTTTTACTGAGATTAGGGTCGGGCCTTAGATATCCCTTCTTGTCTGGGAGATGGCATATAATGTAGTGATTAAGATTATTAGCTCTGGGGCCAGACTGCATTGAAATCCCAGCATATACAAGCTGTGTGACTTTGGGAAAAACTACTTAACCTTTCTGTGTCTTCATTCTGTCATCTGAAAAATGAGGGGATTAATAGTACCCAACTTCACAGGTCAGAATGAAGTTTAAATAAGTTAATGTGCAGGAATCTTAGAATAACGTCTAGTTTAAAGCACATACTCAATAAATGTTTGTTACCCCATTGATCTTTTCACAAAAAGGATAATAATAATCATGAATAACCACCCAGGATTATTAATCTCCTCTCAGAGTTTAACTAAATCCAGTACAAACCTTCAGTAGCTCTGGGAACAATGCATGTAAATTTTCATGCAAATATTCTTCAAATAAAATAGGTTTTCAGCTTCTCTGAGCCCTTTTTCTCACTTCGAAAGTGTGCAGGCAAGTTCTCCCTGCCTGAGGCTGTTGTCAGTTGACTGAGATGATAACATACGTTCATTGCTTGGCTCTGGATGTGGGTGCAGCCCAGGTTCACCCCCTCTTCTTTGCCTCTTTGGGTGCACTGAGCAATTTGCATCAAGGTTTCCAGTCTCCTAATATAAACTCACCACCAGGTGGCAGTAAAGATTTAGAAGTGCACGGAACCCCGCCCCCACCCCCCAACCCACCCTCTAGTCTTCTCACATCCAGGGCTGACATTTAGCTGTCTGTTCATCATTACCTAGAAGAAAATCCAATTTGGAAACCTTTGGGGAGGTGGAGACACTGCAGCCACTGAAGACATTCATTGCAAAAATAAACACAGGGGCGGCCCTGGCCTTTCCCAGAGGCTGCAGTTGGCTTCCTGCTGAGAGCCACAGGGCACCCTGGGTATTCACCCCAGGAAGATGTGCTCTTTTCAAAACTGGTTTCAGGGTGAAGAACCCAGTTCATGTGAATTACAGAAGCCTGACCAGACTCATTGACTCCTTTTTCTGGAGGCCGGAAGTCCAAAATTAAGGTGTCAACTGATTTGATTCTTGGTGAGGACTTTCTTCCTGCCTTATGGATGGCCACATCACACAGTGTCCTCGAATGACATGGAAAAAGAGAGAGCTCTGGTGTCCCTTCCTGTTTTTATAGAGACACTGATCCCTCAGGAGGGCTCCACCCTCATGACCTCATCTAAACACAATTATCTCCAAATAATCCACCTCCAAATCACTTTAGGGACTGGGGTTTCAGTATGGGAACCGGTGGCAGGGTGGAGGCAGGTTCCTTTCATAGCACTGTCTAAAGTATGTACCCAGTAACTGTGTGCTGTTCTGCTGTTTAGCTCCCTAGTTCCTATTATGCAGGCATACATCTAATATCTATACTATAACTAATGACTATTATCTGTCACTTTTATTATCCATAATGGCTGGATGGTCTAAATGAGCGCTGATAGAACTTTCTGTAACAATCGAAATATTCTTTATCTGTGCCATTTAATAATGGTAGCCATTAGCCACATAGCTATTGAGATTTGACATATGGTCTTTGCATCAGAGAACTGGATTTTAAATTTTATTTCATTTTAATTGTTCAGAATTAAGATCAAATAACCTCATGGAGTTAGTAGCTACCATCATGGACAGCTGAGGTCCATTTTCTCCCTTTCTATGATTGATTAGATTGTGATGTTTGGAAAGAGGGAAGCTTTGAGTTTTAATGAAGGGTTGGTTTCTGGGGTTTACTGTTGTGGGGGCAGACAAAAAAAAAGATAATAAGGCTCAGAGAACTGAAATAACTGCCTAAGGTGACCCGGAGGGTCCATGGTGTGGCCTCCCTGCATCTCCAAGGCTCCAGGTGGTAGTTCCTTCTACCAGGTAAACCTCCAGGAATCCAGGTTCCTTTCTTCTCCCTCCTGGAGGTGACTTGGCAAGAGTCATTTGATCATTAGGACAGGCTTACTTGTTCGTAGTGCTCTGCTTAAGCATGTGTGAGCGTGTGTGAGCGTGCATGAGCGTGCGTGTGTGTGTGTGTGTGTGAGCGTGCATGTGCATATGTGTGCATGAGCAGGCCTTTTGCAGAGGTCATGCAGCCTGTTACATAGGAACAAGGGTGATGTGAGAATCTGAACTATGCCCATCTGACCCCACATCACAGTTTAGGTGCATTTCAAGGACTGAAGTCATTGCATGGTCTTTTAGGAACAGAGCAAAGAGGCTTAATGCAACCATTGCAACAGGGCCAGCGGGCATTGGAAAAGGTGTCTTGGGGTCTGAGCACAGGATGGGAGGGTGGTGGAGTTTCTCTCAAGCTCTACCATAACGCCACAACCGCCAATGTCAGCTGTCAACAGTGAAGCATTGCCTGGTGCCTGTCCCTGTGCTCAGCACTCCAGGAACAGCATCTTTTCATGAGGAAGATGTTCTCGACCCCATTTTACAGAGGCACCGAGAGGCACACAGCTAGGATTTGAGTGAGCTGCTCCAAAGCCCGAGGTGTTAAACCTTCAGCTCAATTTTTAGTAACTGGCTTCAAACCATTATTGTCTCCCTGTTTCCTTGTGCTCACCTCAGTGAGCATGGGCAAATGTGACGATCACCGAGACGGGACTCCAAAGTGAAGACCAGCAAGTTTTCTCCGATCACAGGGGAGTGACCTCCACCTTCAGGACACAGCGGCAGGCATGAGGGTGAAAAACCAGTCTCTACCTCAGAGCAAAGCCTGTTCAAGGAAGGGACATGACCTTTGTCCTTGGAAAGACCCACAGAGCATTCCTAGGCACAATTCCCACCCTGCTAAGTTGTTTATCTACAAATGAGGCTAGGTGGGGACCCATAGCAACCCCCTAGCAGCCACCAATCAGCATGAGACAGGGAAATACCTGGGATGCCAGATGACCCTCCCAATAGTTTATGGTGTTGGGAAACCATACACCCCTCTTGGCTTAAACCAATCAGTTCAAATGAATACCCCTTTTGTACTAACCAATCACCCCTACCCAACTTGTTCCCGCCAGTGAATGTGCTCATCATGTTTTAGAGTTGTTGTTTGATTTTCCCGCGGTGTGTGATGATTTGCTAACAGATGCTGTGATGTATGTGAAGTCCCTGCCTTCCCCAAAGAGTGTATAAAACTGCTGCAAACCCTGTGCTGGGGCCTCTCAGCGTCATCAGTTGCTGTGTACACACGGAGGACCAAGCAAGCTCGCAATAAACACCTCTTTGCTGTTTACATCGATCTTGGTCTCTGGTGGTCTTTTGGGGGTCCCGAATTCGAGCACAACAAGGGCAGTCGTGTGGAATCTCCCCTGATGGACTCTTATTTCCGTCTGCTCACTGTAGGACTCTGGGAGTTAGTGCCTGCCATTCTAAGCTTGCAGCCACATCTTTAAACGCATCGATTGCCCAGAACGGCTCCCAGAGTGGGAGGGAGTTATCACCACACTCAAGAGTATGTGGGGGCTGTGGGCTGTCCCCTCTGTGTCACCTCAGCCAGGTGAGGAGCTTTCTTTTCACAGCACCGTTCCCGTCTGCCCAGGTGGGAGTCTGCCCTCTGCACTGGTGGCTTATTGGTGTCCCAGGCTGTTGAAAAAGGAGGTGGCCCATGGTGGGGGGGGGGTCGGATGAGGCTGAGTACAGGAGCCACTCCTAGGTGATCGATGGGTGAGGCAGCAGCTCTGGAAGACACAGAACTCCCCATGGCTACAGGGATCCCAGCAGAGGCTACACAGAAATCAGCACTCTGTGGTGCTGATTGTGGACAATGCTGTGCAGTGGTCAGCTACACACTCTCTTCTCCCCCCTCTGCAGTGCCTGTGGTCACTGGGTCTTCTTTTCATTCCATAGAAAAGGCTCAGAGAGGAGACGTGAGTTACCTGAAGTCACACAGAGTCAGAATGAGGTCAAGACAAATGTCAAACCGAGGTCTAGAAGGCCCCAAATCCTAAGGTGGGTGTTACAGTTTGGATCTGGAATAGACGCCGAAGGCCCACGTGTTAAAGGCCGAGTCCCCAGCTTGGCGTGTGGTGGAGAATTTAAGGGGTGTGGCCTAGTTGAAAATTTTGTTTCACTGGGGATATCTCTGCAAAGAGGTGGGACACGTGTGCTTCTGATAAAGAGGTAAACAGCCTTGTTCCTTTGGGTGCTCCCCACCATGATGTGCTGACTCACCACAGCCCCAAAGCAACAAGGCCAATTGATCATAGACTGAAGCCTCTGAAACCATGAGTCCATATAAACCTTTCCTCTTTTTAAGGTGATTTTCTCAGGTATTTTGTCACAGTGATGAAAAATGGAATCACACAGCAGGGATCCCTCTCAAGTGTGATCCTCCTGCTTGTGACATAGATTCAGAGCCAGTGTAAAATCATTTCATGTCCCATAGTATAAAGATTTTGGTGCCTTTCATCCTACATGTAATTTAAAATAAAACAATCCTAAATGCTAAAATAAGGATAAAAAAGTTCAATAAAGTTGAATCCTCTACCACCACCATGCTGCCCTTTTTTTCCCCTAAAAATAACCAAAAACAAACAAAAAAAACCCTCCCCATCTTTCTCTCACTTCTCTATTCTACTCCCTTTTATTTTGAGTACCTGCCTTTTTTGAAGCCCTAATTATGTTTAATCTCTGACCAGGTAAATGATATCACATATAAGATTTATCTTGGTGATGGCTTTTAATCCAACCCCAAAGTTGGATAAATCTCACCAAATCCCCTTCCAACTCAATGAGCCTGGGATTCTATCATTTCAAAGTCAGCAAGCCGCATTGGTTCATCCCATGACCACGTCTGAGGCCCTGAGAACACTGTAAATGCTCATTAAAATATTTTTCTTGTGGGGGAAATGGGAGAAAGAAATATTGTGAGAAAAGACAAAATTGCAAGCACAAATATCGGCTGACACTTTGGAAGTAAGGTTACCAGTAAGACAATGTGCTTTATTTCACATGTAAATTTGCCAAGAAATAAGCACAATTAAGCGAAATGGAATTGTGCAGCAAAAAAAAGAATCAGTGAAAAGTTCTACCCAGTTTTCCTGTTTGGATTTGCTCCATAGAGCGATATGTTTCAGAGGCTAAATAATAATCTGATACATTTTGAATGGCATGTTGTGTATAGGGGTAAAATGAGGGTGTTTGGGGGACTATGTTTCATCCATAAAGTATACGTTTCCTAATGTTCTCACTTGGACTGAATAGACTAGTTCCCACACGGCCATCCCTTCTCTTACATGGGGGCTGCTGATTTCACTGGGTGGCTACAGCTCGGAAATTTGAGAAATCTTCCTCCCCCAAGGGGGGATTCTGTGGGCATCTGACTAATTGGTTCAAGATAATTGAGAAGGAAATCAGAAGATGCAACAGCAAAGTGTGTCCTTTTCTAAATCTAAATGCTTCCAGAAAGAAGTGGATTTGGGTTTTCCTCTGGCTGGCTTTTATGGGTGGAAAAGGCTCTGAATGAATGGTGAGTTTAATGTGCTGGGCTTTGGGTCACAAGGACTAATCTCCTTGACCATGAGCTCTATGAGAGGCAGGAGCTGCGTCTGCTCACTGTTGAATCTCTGTCACTTAGCACTGAGTCTGAGGCATAATAGCTGCTCAGGAAATGTTCACTCTACGAATGATAGACCAAAAGGATGGCTCCCTCAAAGATTCTATCAGAGTTTCCCAGAAATTTCCAGAAATTTAAATGAAAGATCAATGGGATAAGCATGCATGTCCCTGGGAAAAAGACAGTTATAGCAGGACAACCCTGAAGCCCTCCTCCAGGGCTAATGTCTGCTCAGTTATGGTGTCTGGATTCTGGTCTCAGCCCTTACTAGGTCCCTTTCTAAAAGAATTGGTCACAAAGAAGGCTTAAGCTAAAAGGGAAGCAAACTTTTATTCTCCAGGGTCCCTGAATGTTAATACACAAATCAACTTTGGCGACTTGAAGGCTCTTCCCTTTTCACAGTCTTAAACCTACCCAGCCCCTTCCATTCATGCTGCTGAAACTTGACCTAGAAAACGGACTTCCTCAGGAGCCCACAACCAACCTCTGGCTTCATCTCTATGAATCCCAGCAGAAGGAGATAAAGCATAAAAAAATCCAGCTCAACATTCAGTTTACTGGCAGACCCCGTGCCCCCAGTCCAGCTGTTTCCAGGTGTTCCATAAGCAAGACATTTGGTGGCAGCCTTCACTTTTATTTTAGGTCACGTTGCCATTGTAAAGATGCAGCATCAAGGGCGTGACTCCCACAGGCTCCATGGGGTGCCTCCAAAGCCTCATTCTCCAGGATCCAGAAGCTGGTGATAGAGTGGACTTCGTGAGAAAAGCAAATTCTGTTACACCTTGAGTGAAGGCCCTTCAGGGTCCAGAGCCTACGAGATCAAATTTGTAGTGAAACTGTCGCCATTAACAAAACTTCATTTCCATTCCAATGAGCCAGATGGCCTCTATCCAAATGTGGATTTGTGCACAGGCAAACTCAAACATTGAGATGTTGAGAAAGCAACTGTGTAAGCCAATACTGGTCCTAACTGTACCTCCAAGAGGTCAGAGAGAGACTCCAGGGCACTTGTCTCCTGGTGTCTTGGTCTATTTGAGCTGCTATACCCAATGCCATAAACAGAGTGGCATAGAAACAATAGAAATTTATTTCTCACAGTTCTGATCTGAAAAATCCAAGATCAAGGCAGCAGCAGATATAGCATCTGGCAAGGTCCTGCTTTCTGATTCACAGGTGGAGGAAGGAGGGCAGGGATCTCTCTGTTTTATAATCTCATCTCCTTAGTTCTCCACCTCCAAATACCCTCATATCAGGTGTTAGGTCTCAACATGTAAACTGGGGGAGGGGACCCACAAGCACTCAGTCCCTGGCACCCGCTCACTCTCCGGGTACGTTTTGCCAGTGCTTGCTCTTCGCTCGTGCTTTGGTTCCACAGCATATTTTTTCTGGTTCCAGTGGTCAGTGGAGCTCATGAGTCAGATGCATCACTTTGCTCACAGAAGTCCAGAATGGAGGTTGTTGTCCTGTCTCTGGAGGGGACCCAGCAGGGATGAGGGAGATTTCCATGAGCTTTTTCTAGCTCCCTGGGTCTGTGTCTACCTCCCATTCCTGGGCCTAAAGAAGGCATCATCCCTTGCTTTCATTTAATCTTTTCATTTGTCCTGAAAGCCAAGAGCCACCAGGGTCCAGGAGGAAGGATAAAGAGGCGTATCGAGCCCCTGAGTTCCTGGATCACCTGTTCCACCTCCTCTGCAATGGTCCCCATCCTATTGGGGGTTTCACTAAAAGCTTCTCCCTCAGCATTGCCGCGAGGCAGTGGCTTCGGGTTATCTTTTGTGCATATTTGATTCCTCCTTCCACAGGAGCAAAGAGAGGAGTAAGAAGTTGCTCCTTCAGTCTCTTAAGTACGTTTAAAGGACCTAGAGAGCTTCAGCAAGCTGGGGTCTAGTGAGAAGCTGCTGTCCAAGTCTCCTAGATCCTCCAAAGCCCTGAGGTTGTGACTCAACATTAGGCACAGGGACTCCTCAGAAGCTTCCAGAATTGGCTTATCTGTTTTTGTTAAATGAGACAGACTTTCTCTGAGTTTTGACCATTCGGTTTTGACATGTGCTGCTAATGGATTCCATTTCTTGGTATTTCCTAAAGAGAGAATCTGGTTGGGTCTCTCCTGTCCATCAGTGTAAGTCAGAGGGCAGAGCAGGAGGCCTAGACCATGGCCTCTGGGTGAGGCTGAACACAGGCAGGTGTCAGAAGTGCTGGGTTTAGCACAGGGTGTGAATACATGGTTTGGGGGGTCTGTGTCCTATTCCCTACCCCCACCCCCAGTCTCCTTGGAAGCCACTGACTTTTGCTCTGAGAAGGACATCTGAGCAGACATTGGCTTCGTCCTCCCTGGGGCCCCAGTTGCCTCTCTGGGGCCTGTGAATTGCCAAGGGCACACTTTTGTTTTGGGTCCATGAGCTCATGCCCCAAGTGGGATGGCTTCTGGAACCACCGGGGGTCCTCCAGGCCTGCCCCTGCTCTTCAGCACCCGCAAGCAGATCCCATTGTGGGGCTGGGGTGTGAAAGAGATGCCACCTCACCATCTGGAGAAGGTAGAAGGAGAAGCAAGCAGGTGTGGGGTATGAAAGCCTTTGTCATTTTATTTTACAATAAAAAATTCTAACAGCATATGAACACTCTGTTCCCGGCAGAGGCAAAGGACGTACAAAGTTAATTAGAAAGCAAAGCATTAAAATAACAACAGCTACATTCAAAGCTTCTGCTCAGTACTTTGCCCAATGTGTCTAACGTGATTGGAAAGAATCACAGTCTGGGCTCTTCACCCAGAGTGAAAGCACACCTACACGTACTTACACGAACTTACACACCCTCCAACTCCACTCGGGGCTGGCTTTTGTGAGCAATTCCAAACTTAGGAATTTCTTTATTTTTCCTTAAGTCTTGTCATGGAACCCATGATAATAAAAATCCATTCAGTGGTTGGAGGAGCTGAACTATTTTGCTGGATAAAACTGAACTGTGAAGCTAATACTTTAGTGGGAATTCCTTCAAATATATTTCTCAAACCATTTTCAGATACCTTTTTTTAGGGGGGCGGTACTGAGGGCTGAACTCAGAGGCACTCAATCACTGAGCCACATTCCCCAGCCCTATTTTGTATTTTATTTAAATCAAGATCTCACTGAGTTGCTTAGCACCTCACTGTTGCTGAGGCTGGCTTCGAACTCTTGATTTTCCTGACTCAGTCTCGTGAGCCACCGGGATTACAGGCATGAGCCACTGTACCCAGACATTCTTCAGATACATTATGCTATGGGTTCCTCACAACCAGCACGGGAGGTAGGAAGTACAGATGTTATACCCTTTTGATAGATGAGGAATTAAAGACAAATTCAAAGTGAGTTGCTCGAAGTCTAGAATATTTACATCTCTTTAAAATTCCCAGTCCATTGATACTCCTCTGATTCTCTTGGGTACAAATTTTTTTCTCCACTCAAATTGTGTGGGGGGTGGAGGTGAGTTTAGACATAAGGAAGAGTTGAGGAAAAGTAAGGCGAGCCCAGGGCTAATTTATGTAAAATACATCAACGGCCTCCCTCCATGATTTACAAAAGTCTATGACCAAGGTCAGAGAATGAAAATAATCAATATCTAGATTTTATTGTATAATGGCTCTCACTAAAGTATGGGTCTGACCTTTGGAGACAAATTCTACCTTACTAAAAATTTCTTTATCTTTAAAACCTGCAGAACCAAAGTGACTCAATATCTCCTAAGAGAATTTGTTTCTGGCACAATTATATTTCCTAAATATTCCTTCTCAGAAACATCCTACATTTTAGTATTTATCAACTAGCATTTTTTTTCCCCTCTGTGGTGCTGGGGATTGAACCCAGGGCCTTGTGCATGCAAGGCAAGCACTCTACCAACTGAGCTATATCCCCAGCCCACAATGGTCTCGAATTCGGTAACAGTTCACCTAAGAAATCAAGAGACCTTTCGATTCTCAGGACACTAACTTATTATATCCGGAAGGTCAGAGCCACTATAATATCAGTTTCACTTGAAACCAATTTTGTTTCAAAAGACTCTATTGAGAGGCTCATTGGTTTTCTCATCCATGCAAGTGTGTGGCCATGAGCCACGTTAATAGCACCTGAGCTAAGATCATGCAATTCAATTTACAAGTATTTATTGTCTGCTGAGCAAGACATTGTGCTAACTGGGCCTTGGTCAGAAATCCCTTCTTAGGCCCAGCAGCAGTATTCAGTAACTGGTGTTGGGGTCAGAGGTGCCAGGGCAGTTCAGGCCAGTCTACTAGGGTCCCAAGTGTATGTACTCTCACCTGATAGGCAAGTGAGAATGCTCTTTCTCTCTTTGGCAGCATCCATAGGGATTGCTCTCTGAATACTGCCTTCTCTGTAGCATTCTAGCAGGACTCGTCATTTCCATTTCCCTTAGAAGATCCTGCCCAGTCATACTCCTTCCTTTGGGTACTAATCCTCCCCACCTTCAAACTCCCCCTTGAAAGGGTCAACCCAGGAAGCCATGCTTGTACGACAGGACCTTGACTCCCAGGTCATGGCTGATTGGATAGGCAGGCACCTGACCCCACGGAGGCTCACCCAGAGCCAGATGAACTGGACCAATCAGATTCTTCAGAATTCACCTGCGGGGGGGCACAGAGATGCTAGTCAGAGTGGTGGGCTCTGGGAAGGAAGAAAAGGTCAAGTAGTGTGGGTCCTGGGGTGGGTTCGTTAGCTACATATTTGCTAATGAGTAAGCCACAGGAAGCACGAGATCCGAGCAGATGTGCAGAGAGAAACGGATGAGCTCCAAGAGGAGAGACCGTGAAGGAGCAAGAGCGCGCGCCAGGGCGGCTGCCTCCATCCCTTGCCACCAGGGAGCTGCGTTTTGTTTCTGTGAAATGTTCCTGAATTCTTTCAGTCAACCTCCACATTGTGCGAGTGTAAATGGGTTTCTCGTCCTTGCAAAATTCCTTGACCAGAATACCTCTGAGGTTGGACTGAAGGGCAGAATTTAACTTCCAACACATAGACCCCACTCAGTCACTATTCCAAGTCAAATTATTATCCTTCTTTAAAGTCTTTAGCTGTATTTTGTGGGGAAAACTCCAAATTATTTTCTGGTGTGTGGTAGGAGGAATTTAGGGTTAAGTTCAGATCCTGTCATCAAACTTTAAAAATTGCATTCATTGAACATTGAGCACCCGTGTGCTACATAGAAAAAAAGAAGCTCATTTATATGTAATCAGTATTAATCAATATTAAAAATTTTGATCCACTTCTCCAATTTCTATCTTAAATTTAGAAAAGCATTTCTTTCAGAAGGTACTTAGATTCCTCGCCCCTTCTTTTCTACAGGCTCTCTCTCAGAAGAGCTTTTTTTTTTTTTTTTAATCATATATCAAATGATTTCATTTCTTCCATCAAGATTATTCAGAAACTACATGCCCTTTTGCTGGATTCTTAAAATAACAAACGCACAAGATAACTTCTCCCCAGACTAGAGAATTGATTCTTATATAATCCGCCCTTGAAGAGGCAGCTCTTCCCCACAGGTAACAGTTGCTGTCTTGTTATTGCACATGCCTCAGATCACAGGTGCCAGGCCACACCATAGACCTCTGTGTTCCTGCACCTCTGGATTGCCTCCCCAGATGCAGAGTACGGCATCTGCTATCTCACAATGACAAGCTGTCAGTGCTCTCCTGCCTGTGCCAAGATAAGAATTCACACACCCCATCCCCCCCAGTTCTGAACAAGAGTTGAGGACACCATTTCCTGGATAGGACTCTCTGGGGAAAGCCAAAATGCATTTCTTTTTCATGAATGCAGAAAAACTTGCATCAAAACCAGTGATGAGAAAATGTTTATTAGGCCCCAAAGGTATTGTCCTCTGTACACTGTATCCAAAGTTCCTGACATACTCCACCATATGTTGCCTTGGCAAGAACATTACGGAGTCCCTCATATGACCCTTGTCTATTTTTTAAACTTGCAGGCACAAAGGAATGGGTCGCCGATGTGTGCAGGCAGCATGGAAGATGGAGAGCAAGTTGGATGGTGAATCCTCAGGCTTGGGCTAGATCCTCAGGCCAGTTCCTCCACTCGTCCAGACTTCCTCCTCCAAGTCATGGAGGTCCATTATGGCTTCTGCGTCTGCCTGGAGGATCACGATGAACACTGAGGTCACTGCTGCCTCCTCTAAGCTCTCACGGAATCCTATTTTTACCTCCATGAGGCACTTTTGACTATCTGTCTTTTCTCAGAGTTACCTGTCCAGGCATCTGTCATCTCCATAAGGTTAGGAGACTCTTCAGAGAAAGGACCACATCTTAGTCTCAGAAAACCAAACAATGACTCTGCTTCCCCATTGGTGGGAAAACATGAACAGATTTCTTTTCAATGTAAGTTTTTTCCTTTCAAATACTTTTTCTTGAACCCGTGACGTCTGATTTAAGAGAGTGTCTGATATAGCACACTATATTTGAGTTTTCTCAAGCATTTCAAGTAGGGACCACCTATTTCTGCAAAGACTGTGATATCTAGAGCTCCATCCTCTTAGCCATCTGGAGTCACACCACTGCAAACTATAGATTTATGGTCTGTGTGTCACTGGAACATCCAAAGCTCAGACACTGTCTTTTGAAACATGTACATATATTTCAATGACACTGAGGTCTTGAAATTTCATTTTTGCATACAGTATTTCCAGGCATTTACCAAGCAGACAAAGTACTGGGTTAATATCATTGCACTGATGAAATATTGATATTATTGATAAAGCAGGACAATGTAGCTGATTTTATCAGACTCATACCATTTGCATGAAAAGGCTGAGTTTCTTTGGCTCTTTGTTCATTCAAGTGCATTGGATGCCTATTTGGATAGCCTTAGGCATCCTGTGAATCTGTCAGTAAAATCTCGCACTGTCCACAGTGTTCTGCAAGCTGACTTAGGTTTTGGACTACAACAACTGGCCATTGGTAGAAATATACCATATATACACGTGGAAATTACAAAAATACATTTTATTTATAGCTGATTTCTTTTTAAGTAACAAAAAACTAACACTATGAAAGATCGACCAGCATACTAAAAGGACACTACCTAATATCATCCGAACAAGAGTCTTGTTTGGGGAATTCCATGATACATCATCTCTAAACATTCCAGAAAGGGCTATTTGCCATTGGGAAATAAAAACAGCTTCTTGGAAAAGCCTGTGCTTTGACAGCTTGAATATCCCATTCAAATATGGTTCTGTTCCTACTCTTCCTCAGCTTTTCTATTTTCACCTGCTTCTTTCAGTAAAGACCAAAGAAACTCATGAGGACAATGGGAAGTGGGCTCAGAAGGGAATGGGCAAGCTGAAGCTGATGGATCATGGGTAAAGGCAGGACAGGACCTCGTTCTCCAACAGACACCAAGCAAGCCCCCAACACCATACGTGGCTCCCAAAGTCAGGCAGGGAGCCTAGTGCCCCCGGTCCCTCTGTGACCCACAGTTAGTAGCTGTCTTGCTTGCATGACAGGTAATCAGTGGTTGGCACCCAGTGCTGTGGGCAAAGTCTTCCACCCAGAGGTCTGGAGATCAACATCTCCATGCCAGGGAGGGTGACACGGAACGTCCTGGTCACAAGGTAGGACCCCTGTCACTTCAGCAAGTGTCTTCCTATATCCATCAGCTATGGAGAACTGGTGAACTCCACACACTTTGTAAAAAGTTATTTATGTTGAAACTCATATCAACAGATTTCCTATATTTGGAAGCTTCTATAAACAGAGGCCGATTGTGAGGTTACAACTCGAGTTTCTAACAGGAATCAGTGACTATTTCCTTTTGTACCATTCGGCAGCACATGCTGGTCATCGCTGTTGAAGAGATAAGATTTTCTTGGAAAAGTCAATGCATCTATTATCCCCCCCCCCCCAAAGACAGAAGCTCTGTTCTTGTGCCACCCTCAAAGCCGGCAAAAGAAAACCCTCCACAAATAATGTTTTTCTTTTGTAGGACCCTGAAAGCTCTTGGCACCGATTCTCTCTTTCCATTAGATCCCAACTTGGAGGGTACTCTATTTCCAAAATGACAACACCTTTTAAAAACTCTGTCAACACAAATCCACCATTCCTGCTCATCTTCTCTCTTTCTCCACCTTTAATTCACAGGGAAGAAAGATATCATGGCTATTTATAGGCATAGCCACTGGTACTGATTTTCATCCAATTCATTTGACTTTGAATCTGAGCCTTTAAAAGCAAAGGGACTCAAGTTTCTTGGCTGGAGTCAGTGTCTCCCTTACAGGCTAGAGATGACGTTAGTGATCATGGTCGTGGCTGAATGAGAGAGTACAGGCTGGTGCTTAATTCACACTCCTACATTGCCTTTAACACGGAAAGAGTTAACATGCAGAGGTCACCGAAGATAGAGCTGTGTTCTCCCCCTTCTGGTGATTTATTAAAATGTAGCATTGGACAGGAATCTGTACATTAGCTAGTGCCTCTTGTGACTAAGGCTCCTTAGGGAAATACACCCTAAGGATGATTCAAACACTCGGCATAACAGAGTATCACTCACATGGTCCCAAGCAGGGACGTCTTGACCCACCGTCAGTTGCACAAACCAAGAATCTAGTCGTTCATGAACGTCCTCTGTTTCTCAGAAGCCCCCCTGTTCACCTTTTCTGTTCACCTTTTCTGAAACTGAGGGTGAGATTCACCCATTGTCTATGTCTCAAGTCCCCACACTTTGGGTGTGAGTGACCCAAAGCCTGCTTCCTTGGAGTCTAGAAGTGCAGAGTCCCACGGGGCTAAGGCATTAGACCTGGAACTCAAACATGTCCGTCTGCTTCTTGGCCAGCTTGGCTACCTCCTCCCGGATGGCCTTCACCAGGGCCGCGGTGGAGATGTTGGTCAGGGGGGTGTCAGGTGGGTCGTTCTCTGCCAGGCTCTGCTGCGAGGCCGCTGCGGAGGCCACGGGGGCCTGCTCCAGGCTGGGGTGCAGGTTGGTGGGCTGGCTGTACTGGCGAGGAAGCCTGGAGGGTGAGCTCTGCTGGTACCGGGACCGGGGGTAGGCCTCGATGTACCCAGGGAGGGGGACCTGTGGAGGACGTTGGGAGAGAAGAGAAGGGCCTGGGATTAGGAGGGAGCTCAAGTCACAGGACACACTGGGTACTGGTAGCAGGAGGGGACTGAGGACAAGGAAAGGCGTTTAAAAGAAAACAGAAAATGGAAGCCAAGTACCACTGTACGGATGCAAGATCTAGAATGCGTTTAGAAAACAGGTCATTTGGACTCACTGAATATGCTGGTTGGATGAATTAAATAGGTGTTTTAAATCTTGCTGAAAACATTAGGAATATATCTGAGTCTACGTCTGAACCTCCTGGCTTCCTTATTAATTGAAGTATAATCCAGTCACTAGAACTATTGCTTGGGAGTGCAGGGGTTTCTTCTCTATAATAGCTACAAATCCTGGAACCCTGTGCCAAGGGATCTCCACACATTATCTCATTTAATTCTCTGCAGCAGCCCAGGAGGTCGGTACTGTTATCCTTATTTAACAGGTGAGAATACCGAAGCAAAGCGTGCCCCTGGGTTTCAAGTGGCAAAAGCCAGCAAGCCGCTGGGACATGCTTTGCACAGCCGCATCTGGCTCCAAGGGCTAGGAATTAAACCCTGCACTATAGTGCCTAGGATCCAGGATATGATCTAGTTTCCTGAAAAAAAAATGTTCTCTTTTCATTTAAAAATGAAAGACACACTGTACTATACATAAATACATGGAAACTCTTAGGAATAAGGACAAGGCAAGGACATGGAATTCAGAAGTGACTCTTCCACAGAAAGGGTGCCACAGTTGGAGATGTTGTTCTAGGCTAGTCCACAGAGACCTTCATGTTCCATAATGCTGGCTGGATCACTGCAGAATGAGTGACACTGCTGCCACAGCACAGGGTGCTGTTGGGAAGGGGGCATGTTTGGGCAGCTCTCTGGGAGAGACCGCAGGGGTCAGTCTACTTCCAGGAAGATGGAACAGGGAAAAGCAAGTTCAAAGGCATGGGGGTGGGGAGGGGTGCAGGGAAGTCAATGACCCCAGGGAGGTGCAGGTCCAAAAGCCCATGAATGCCAGACCATGACATTGAGCTTCCTGGTCCTTCTACCTATTTTCTGTATCACACTTCTGAGGAACACAACCCGTTCCCATTCGTAACAGACATGCTCTTCTGGGCGCTGGGTGAAGATGGAGCGGATGGCTGCCTTAGTCTGTTTGGCTGTTATAACAAAATCTCACAAACAGAAGTGTCTAGAAACAACAGAAACTTATTTCTCACAGTTCTGAAGGCTGGAAAGTGCAAGAGCTAGGCACTGGCAGATTCCATGTCTGGAGAGGGCTGCTTCCTGGGTCACAGACAACGATCTTTTCACTTTCACATGGCAGAGGGTGAGGGATCTCTCTTATAATCCCCTTCACATGGGCTCCACCCTTGTGATCCCATCACCCCCTGTCTCACCTCTTTATCACCTTGGGGTGATAGGATTCAACTTTTGAATTCGAAGAAGAGGACACAGACTTTCAGACCATAGCAATGGGGTTGGGTGATGAATCAGAAATTTTGGATGAGGGAATATATGGTGGGAAAGCAGCGCCCTCTCTTCCCTGCTGGAAGTTCTGATGACCCCTACCGAGAAGGCCAGCTTCTAAGATGCACAGCTGACCCTGGCATGGAAACCACGGCTGGGTGTCAGGCAGAGGGGGAGTCTGTGCTTTGGAAAGGACACTCTGGGGAGGATCTGCTGGGGATGATGCGTTCTGGGGCTACTCGGTAGTCCAGGATGCAAGCAGGATCAATATCCTAAGTTTGCGTTTGGGGCTTTAACTTCCCCACGAGACCTAACAAAGAAATACAGAGGAGTAAATAGGTGGCAATGGCAGGTGTCTTTGTGTAGCACTTGTAAGTTTCTCTATTTCGTAGAGGAAAACCAGAGTTGGACTGTCAGAGTCCTTGGGCCACAAGAGCTGGGAATGCACAGGTGACCAGGAACCAAGGCCAGGGCACGGGAAGCACATTTCAGATCTCAGCTCAAATTTCCTTGCTCTTGGGGACCTTTACCAGGCTGACATTAGTCCAGGCCCCTGTTAGGTGTTTCCTGCAGTTTCTCTACTGTGACAGTCATCCCTCCTGATGCCATTGCCTGTCACAGGTCATCAACTTTGTGAAGGCAGGACGTGGCCTCGCTTACTCACTGCTGCACCCTAGTGGTCATAATTTGCACATCACACAGCAGCGGCTCCCCTGGTGCCTGGGCTTAATCACTGAAGGATGACGAGCAGATGTCAAGTGGTGGAGAAGGAAGCGGCCACATCCCCTCGTCCTCATTTTAAATTCAGCTAACTGCACATGCTGGTGTGAAAAGAGTCAATGTCTGACTCTTGAGACCCCTTTCTCTGTGGCATCAAGACCTGGTGGCTGGGACAAGCTAGGGACACCTGAGTCTACTGGGGTGGCCTTAGTAATATCCAGAAGCAGGGAAGATGATAGAATATACAGGCTGGTGCTTTGGGGATGCTTTTCCTTCTCACACTGGTGTGGAGGGTGTGATCAACCCTCCCCCAAGGGAGTATCTTTCTTAAGCTGACAACTGGTCCCTCTGATCTTCCTGCATGATTTCTCACGGGCTCTCAATCTTGTCCTGCCCAGCTTGCTCCAAGCTCTGGGCACACTTCCCTGCTTTGCAGGTGGTAACTGGGCTCCAAGAAAGACCATTTAGGCTGCAGCATCATCTTCTCTCCATTAGAAGCAACTGGTAGGAAATTCATTCTCTTTCACACCGAGGGGGATGAGCCCAGAACGATCCAGTCATTCTGTCAGGAAGGTCAGGTTTCCATTTACTGGGCTCCTTTCCTTCAACTCTAAGGAACATCTAAGGAACTCTAAGCATCTGAACATAACTACAAGCCTAGCTAAGTTCTCATTTGAAAGTGTCTTGAGAGCAAGGTCAAGGATTTGGAAAATACTTCCTTTTACCAATTCTCTCATAGCACCCAGTGTTAACACTGCACACGGCCAGTGAGCTGTCAAAGCTGTGGGCTTACTGCTGGTTTGTACAACTTACCTACTTTCTGAAGGTATTACATTATTTTGTAGACTTTTAAGTCTATTTTATGGAGTCAAATAAGCTCTGAACCAATAAAATCATAGCCAGTGATGTCAGAAAAGCAGAGAATGAAAAAAGTATGGGGGTGGGGGGGCAAGCCCCCTAACAACCAAAATAGATGCTATAAAGTTCCACAGTAAGATTCACAGACGTAGCAGCAGGAACTCCCTCTAGATCCTCTCTTAGAGCTTATTTACTCCAACTTTATAAACAATTATAATGAGCTCAGACATGCTTCATTTGCAGAGAATAGCACATTAGGAAAAACACATTCAAGAATCCGTATTACTGGAAGTGGGGACATTGACACCAATATAAAGTGCCAGCTGGGAACAAGATCAGGCAAAGAAGAACCATATTGAGCCACAGCAATAACCCCCCAAATTGGAGTAGTTTGGAGATACTTAGGGGCAATAATCCTACCAACCATTAGAGCTCATCCTAAAAATGTTCTCTTGGTATAGTGAGGCCAAACGATGCTGAATGGTTCACAGAAGACAAACGAAATTATGTCACGTCCTCTTTTAAAGAAGGGGGAAGAATAGGATTCATTTCCGAAATATCATGCAAGATGGCATACAGTTTTCAATGTTTTGGAAATCAAAGGAGTTAGCTTTGGTCAACAGGAAAGCGAATGCATGTAGGTGCTGTCATTTAAATGTCATATCACTGTAGGGAGGATAGACACTAATGCTGAGTTGGAGCTGTAGGAGGAGAGTCTGGACTCTAGGGAGAAGGTGAGCCAGACCCTGGTGTCAGGGTGTTTCCTAACTCTAGGATTAACTCCAAATGCTGAGACCAACCTAAAATGACCTAGAGCACCAGGGAACCACCAGGCTCAGCCTGCCTTTCTCATCCACAGTAAGCAGTGTCACCCAGGGACTAGATGACCCACTCCAAAGGCCACCACTAGGCTTTTTTTACCCCCTCATAGAAGCCCCCTTGCAGGTGACCCAGAAGGCAGGTTTGGGCTTGAATACCAGGTAGGTACAGACAGTGCCATATACTCCTACTTGTAATGAAGGAAGAAACCAAAGGATCAGGACAAGCCAGTCCTTGGCTGGAAGTCAGGCAGGAAGTCTTAGGATGTATATACAAGGTAATTTCAGTCTTGGGTTTCTAATGCTTCATTTGCTGGCCTTGGATCTAAAATGTTATCAACTCTGACAGCTAAAAGAAACAAGTTTAATGAATACTTTGGAGTCATACAGGTGCAGGTATAAATTCTGACGTTGGCACCTTACTCACTGTGTAGGTATTAGACAAGTCACACCAGCTGACTGGGCCTCAGTTTCCTCATCTGCAAAATGGGAGTAATCATGGGACCAATAATACCTACCTGATAGGGTTTTTGTGAAGATTAAATAAGATTCTATACATATGACATCTAACATGGTGTCTGGCACATAGAAAATACTCAACCCACGGTAGCTATGATTATAAAAATTCACTTGATTAAGGTCTCTTGCTAGGAGGTAGAATCTGTGGTGGAAACAGGTCTCAAGTTCCTGTGCCCAAGGACACCCTGTCTTACCTCACTGTGTCTGTTAAATGACTGGCTGGGCCATCTGGTTAGTGTGGGGGGTGCTGAGATAAGCCAGCTCTGGGGCTCAGGCTTTTACTCCAGCATCTCCTGAAAGTGTGCCCAGCCGGTGAAGTTTTATGAGGGCATCAGCAGGGGTCTCACCGAATCGGCCCACTGGCTTGGGAGCTCGTTCTCTCCCGCGTAGGACATCCAGGCTGGGCTCCTGTAGGATGAGGGAGGCGTGGGGATGAAGTAGCCAGTGAAACCAGGTCTGTTGGCAGCTGGGATGGCGAACACTGCCGGCACCGTGTTACCTGGCATGGAAGAGGTGGGGGGAGAGCAGATCAGGAGAGGCTGGATGCTGGGATCCAGCGCCGCCCAGAGCCCAAGAAAGCCAGCTTCACAGGACGCCTGGCTGTCAGCTGGGCTTGAGGTCTTGTTAGATCAGATCTGACTGAGTGGCACTTGTTCTGGACTGTGACGCTGGTGCAGCTCTATCTAAGGTACAGTGATCCCCGGCTGTGATGGCCGAGGCTCCAGGGAATGTAGTAGCAGGGACGAGTGTGGGCCAGAGGAGTGGGAACCAGGCTTTCCTTCTTTGTAGAACCCGGCTCCTTTTTAATATTTTATTTAGAGACACTGTGCAGAGCAACAGGGGGTGCCATGCTCAGGGAACCTGGCCTAGAGGCCAAATAGGGGCTAAATCCAGCCTGTGCCCTTTTGCCAGGTGTGGGGTCTGCACTCTCCTGGGGGAAGGACAGACTTTTGCTGGATTCTGGACTTTTCCCACCTTCCCAACCCCTGAAGAGGGAGTGGTAGGCCCAACTGGCAGCCATGGGGCCTGCATCAGCTCAGACTCGAGGAAGCTGGGGAGCCAGGGGGGACTCTGGCATGGGCCCTAGCTACAGAATGAGAGGAAAACATTCTGGAGATGGGGTTCAGGGAAAGCAGGAAACCTCCTCCTGCAAGCCCAACCCCGGTCACCTGCAGTATGGGAGGGCAACCTCTGCTGTAACTGACAGGCTCTCTAAGCTTTAATGGCCAAACTCTCCCATTGAGCCCTTACAACTTCCTACTCCCCAACCCAACACCCCTGACCTGCTGGCAAGAGGAAATGACACCCCAGTGTCTGGGTGATTTCCTCCCAAGAGGATGCATGTTTGGGGATTTATGTTGTTGTTGTCAGTTTTTTTTTTTTTTGGTATGAGGAATTGAACCCAGGGGTGCTTAACCGCTGAGCCACATCCCCCAGCCCTTTTTAAAATTATTTTATTTGAGACAGAGTCTTGCTAAGTTGCTGAGGATGGCTTTGAACTCAGGATCCTCCTGCCTCAGCCTCCCCAGAGGCTGGAAGAATGCATGCTTTTAAAAGTCCAAGAAAAAAAAAATTGAAAGGAATGGACTTCACTGGTGGAATTCCTGAATGCTGTGAAAGCTTTATTAAATGTTGTCAAATGGGTGTTTGCAGTTTTAGTCTAAAAGGTATGGTCTGAGTGAATTAAAACACTAACTACATCATGTACAAACCTGATGTTCCATTTGGACTTTATTTGTCATAGTGAAAAACTGGAAACAACACTTAATGTCCATCGAGAGGGAAAGGCTGGATTGTGGCGTATCATACACAGAACATCATATGGCAGTTTAAATGAATAAGCTAGTTAGTATGTAGGTAGCAATCTGGAGAAATCTTGCAAACAATGTTGAATCAAGAAAACAAAGTGCAAAAGGAAATGTATAGCATATCACTTATGTAAATTTAAAATGCATGACATGAATACATACTGTTATATAGACTTGCATTTGGCAAAAGATTAAAACCCACTACTCATGGTCTGTGAATATCTTGGGGAAAGGGAATTAAGAAGGGGGTGGATAGCTGTAAGCATAAATCTAATTTACTTTTTTCCTTTCTTCCTTCCTTCAGTACTGGGGATTGGACCTAGGTGTGTTCTATCACTGAGCTGCATCCACAGCCCTTTTTAGTTTTCGTGGCAGGATTTTGTTAAGTTCCTGAGACTGGCCTCCAACTTGTGAGTCTCCTGCCTCAGTGTCCCCAGGTAATGGGGATCACAGGTGTGCACCACTGTGCCCAGCTGTAATGCTTTAAACGAAACCCCTCACAGAACTGGAAAAATGTCAACATACACCCTGATTTCAGCAAAACTTGGTGTTTTGTACAGTTTCAGATCTTTTAAGAAATAAAATCAGTAGCTCTTCTAGTCGGGATTGTGAAGTCATGAGGGGACTCAGAAATGTGGAAGCCCTGGTTCCCGAGGGTGGCAGGTGGAAGGCGGAGTAGATTTGGGGACCAGGATACGGAGGGGCTCTGCAGTAGGGACCAGGACCCTGGGGCTTTCCTCCTCCTGCTCACCTGAGTAATTTAAAGCAGACTGATCCAACTGTGTCACGGACACGGGGCCTCTGGACACCTGTGCAAACGAGGCGCTGTCCTGCAGCTGGGCTGGCTCAGGACCTGCGGACTCGGCCATTCGGGTCTTGCTGCCGATGTCTGAGGTGGACCTGGGTAGGGCAGAGGGGCTCTGTTAGCATGGTCCCCAGACCCCAGGGGGCAGGGGGCAGCATCCCTAATACCTTTGGTAGGAGGCTATGACCTCCAAGCCCCACAGGGGTGGAATCTTGGGGACTAGATTTGTAGGAGAAGCTCAGACTTGTAGGAGCCATAGGGTGACCAGAGCTGGAGTACCTTTTACAAGTTCAAGGTCAGTTCTTCCCTAATGTGGCTCTTGTGCCTCTGGGCAGGAGAACATTTAATTTCCAGAAAAGAAGCAAAGCAATTAGCACTGGGTGTTAGCTGGGGTTGGTCAACTTAGGAGGTGATGACATCATTGGCAGCCAATGAGAAGGCTCCATCTAGAATGTGGGGGCGAGGAGGGGGGCTTCCCTTCACTGACACTAGCACAGGTGACCAGGTCGGTGACTGCAGGGCCACATTTGCTACGACTGGCAGGAAGTGGGAAGCCCAGGACACTGTGAAGTTCAGGCTGCTCTCAGGAGCAAGGAAACAGCACTTTGTGAACATTATGAATAAAAGAACCTCCCCTCTATATTTTGATCCCACAGACAATCAGAGAATCAGGTCTACATCTTATTTCAGTAGGCAAATAAGAGTGGCAGCCCGGCGGAGGGGGACACAGACATCCCTCCAGCTACAGAGGGTGCATCCCCAAGGCGACTTTCCTCATCAGCAACCTGTCACAGAAGGGACTTTGGGCTCCTCTACAGTTAAATGGGAAGGAGGGAGAGGCGGCTACAGCCGGTGGCAGGCTGCCAGCCCACAGGGCTACCCGTGCAGACAGAGGAGGGGCTGTCACAGTAAGAGCAGAGAAGAGCCACCGCAGGGAGAAGACAGGAGGCAGGTCTGGGTTCGCCTCTTCTCTAAGCCTGTTTCCTTTTTGTAAAATGAAAGGGGTGGACAGCTCTGTTTCGAATGTTCTTCCTGATCTAATTCTCTGGGTTTCTGGCCTCCTGACATTTGGCAAGGATGGCAAATGGTGCAAAAGGGTGAGGGAGGAGATGGTGGTGGAAAGAAGGACGAAGAAACAGACGTTGGCCATGGCACAGATGGTGACATCAAGGCCCTCTAACCCAGAGCTCCCGGGATAACAGAGAAGCCCCCTCCTGTTCCCCAGGAGGGTTAGATGTGGGGGTTGCAATGATCTGATATCCACCAGGGTGGGTGGTCGTGGCTCAGACCTCCCTCTGGCCTCCCTCCCTCCCCTGGGCTCCCACATGCTGTTCCAGACTTCTGCTGCTATTTCCAAAGTCCCATCCTAGGAAAATTACTGGGTTCTGCTCCATACACTCTGCTGAGACCCCCTTCTGAGAATTCCAGGGCTTTTGAAATCGCGTAGGCCATTACAGGGGCCAGAGAGGCAAGGCAACTTGCCTGGGGATACACAGCATATTCCTGGTAGATCAGGGACTGGAACCCTGCTCAGCTGCTCCCCACCCCACCCTGGTCTCCATTGGCACCCAGGGGTGGCGTCTATACAGCTCCACATTCTAAACCACTGGAACTGAGTCGGGATCTTTTTTTGGGAGCCACTCCTATTTTCTTCAGTATTTTCAGAGTCTAGGCCTGTGGTCCACAGACGAGTGTTACTAGTGTGTTGGGGGTTAGGCTGAGGAGGGAGGCCCAGGGAAGTGGCCCGTGGGTACCCCCCAGGGCAGAACTCTAGACAGCGGGCGGGATTATCCCAATCTTTCCTAGTACTCATGGCTTTTATATTTCGTGTCCATATTTATTAAAAATGAGTGCTTCTTATATCATTACAGAGCACAGAAAAGGTTGAACACATGCCTCATACGATCCGAGTTCCTATGTTTTCAGCTCCATCCTCTTGGACATCAGGAGTTGGGGGTGGGTATTCAGAGGCACTCTTCCCTGGCCTCTCAGTCACCACACTTAAGTGCAGAGCAGCCGCTGAGTGTCAACATGGCTGCAGGAGGCATTCGGACTTGTAGCAGCCACTGTGGCAGCCTGTGTTGGAGTCATTTTTAGATGTTCAAGGTCAGGGTCTGGGCTTTCAAGGTATGGGGCAGTTGACCTTGTGTTGTGTGTGTGTGTGTGTGTGTGTGTGTGTGTGTGTTTGACTGTAGATTAGGAAGGACTTTCTATTCAGGATATTTAGGAAGTCCGGAGAGTTGGTCCACCGACCCTCCCCGGGCCCCACTTGGGGTGCCACAGATACACAGGTGTCTGAACAGGTGGGTGCCTTAAAAGGCGCAGAACAGGAAAGACATTTCCTAGTGCTGCTGTCCACAGACCACACCTTTCCCAAATATTCCAAACAAAGCAAAGAAAGGAACATGTTACCGCCTGAGAGAAGCAACAGCCACCGGGCCAGTCCGGGGAGGTACAGGTGGAGGGGGAGAGCCCATGACCATCTCAGGAAGCTGTGAAAACCTGTAGGCCTGTGGGAGAGACACAAATGGAGCAAGATCTGTTAAAACCCAGCATCAGTCGGCACGCAGGGTCCACCTAAGTAAGGAGGAAGTGAGAACCCCTTCCCCTACCTCTCCTGTCTCATCTCTCACCACCCTCTCCTTGCTCGGGCCACCGTCTTCAAGAGCCCTTCAGTGTTCCCAGAACATAGCCAAGCTCTTAGCTCTGAGCTACCTTAACCAAGCTCCTTCCTGCCTTGGGCTTTGCTCCATGCTGTTCCTTCTACTGAGGATACTTATCTCTCAGATCTGCCCCTGGAGAAGGTCTTTCATTTTGGGAAAGACCGCTTTCTGGTATTGTAATGTTGCTTGGTTATTTATTACCTGACACTGGCTCGATTGTAACCTAAAGGCTATAAGGGCAAGGGCTTTGTTGTCAGTAACATCTGTGTGCCTGGAACAGTGCTTGGTATACATCAGGCAGTAAGTATTGGATGAATGAATATGATTGACTTTCTTCTGAAAGGCAGGTTTAGCAAGGGAAAGGAAATGGGTTTGGGGTCAGGAGGGATGTGTGGAGGTTCTGATAACTAGATTTTATTAGATCCATCTATAGGCAAATCAGGTGAACTTCTCTGGACTCCTGTATCCTCTTCAGAAGTGGGGACATTGATGCTCTACCCAGAGAGCAACTAAGAAGATAGGCAAGTGAGCATTTGTGCAAGGATTTTGCAATCTATAAAGTGCTATTCAAGGATAAGGGATTGAAACTCTTACCAAAGTAATGACTTTCATCCAAACTTGAGGGGATAAAAGAAAGATAGGTAGAGATGGACAGAATCAGAAAGAGTCAGGCCGCCGCTTCCTTTAGCAGGAGAAAAATATAGAAAAGCTCTCTGGGAAGACAAAGCTTAAGTAGTGCTTCTCATCCATGTCTTTCTTCAGGCATCTTGCCTACCACAGCTCTCAAAGAACAGGATGACAGGACTTGAAACCTGAAAGCATCAGCATCAAAAGCTGCAGCACTGGGAATCCACATCAGGATTCTTTAAGCTGAATGAGGTCTTCCCCCTCCAGCATTATGGCAGTCTACCCACCTGGAAGGGCCACGCCAGGCAGAAGCAATGAGGCTCTGGGCAACGTGTACTTTTAAATGCACTGTGAAAACTGCAAGCTGTGAGCAAAGTCTTCAACAATACCTCCTCTGTCTACCTCCTTCCCCAAACACCTCAGCAAACTAAAACAAAACCAGGAGCTGAAACCAGAGGTGGAAAAAAGTAGTAAGCAAATATAAAAGGTGGGATTACCCAGACGATAAATGCCACTCTGATAATCGATTAAGAGATCAAGCCTTGGAACTGGGGACACTAAGGTTCAGTCTTGGTACTTTGGCAAGTAGAAGCGATCGTAAGTCCTTTTTGAAGTGTCTCAAAGTAGGTTCTCAGGATTAGTACAGATTAAGATGAAGCAAAGAGGAGGTCATAATCCAAGACCATAAAACAAACCAGGAGAGAAAAATGAAAGACTGTAGGGAAAAAATACCCAGATGTACAGAGTCTGAAGTTTCCAGATACAAAACAAGGAATAAAAATGTAAGATATGTTTTTAAACAAATAATCGATCAGAGAGATGCTATCAGGAAAGATCCAGCATCCATGAAAAACAACTTTCAACTGGGTGCGGTGGCACACGCCTGTAATCCCAGCGGCTCAGGAGGCTGAGGCAGGAGGATCACAAGTTCAAAGCCAGCCTCAGCAAGACCCTATGTCTAAATAAAATATAAAAAAGGGCTGGGGGTGTGGTTTGGTGGTTAAGGCCCCTGGGTTCAATCCCCAGTACAAAAAGCAAAAACAAAAACACCTCCAAGCCTCTCAGAAGTGATTATTGAGATAAAATATTCAATGTAGGGGAATTAAATAATAGATTAACATGGCTGAAGAGAGAATTAACAAATCTGAAAATAGAATTGTGGAAATTACTAAAAATTAAGCACAAAGAGACAGAGATAGAAAATATAAAAGATACAGAGGATAGAATGAACAGATCTAAGATGCAAATAGTTAAAGTCCTGAAGGACAAAAGTGGGAGACTGAAGGACAGGCAATATTTGAAAAAGCCATGGCTCAGAATTTTCCAGAATTTATTAAATAAATAAGTTAACACTTTCAGGAAGCACAATTATATCTCAAGCAGCATAAGCAAATTCAAACAGAACATACATCTGACTACATTGTAGTGAAGTGGTAGAATACTAAAGGCCAAGAGAAGATCTTAAAAGTAGACAGAGAGAAAAGGCATCCCACCCACAAAGAGATGGCAACAAGGCTGACAGATGCCTTCTCATTTGCACTCAGAAGACATGAAAGGCAAAAGCGCTCAGAGAAAATCATTGTCGACCTTGAAGTGTATCAGCAATACAACTTTTAAGTAGAAGAACAAAAGAAAACATATGCCCAGATCTGGAAGCACTGACTGAATCAATATGGAGAGCTATATTACTGAGCTGCATTTCCCTTTTTTTTTTGAGGATCAGTTAGCTATGTATGCAAAGGCCGATATCTGGGGAACTGTAACTTGCCTCTCCACTAGACAGATGTGTCCATCTCCTCAGGGTACCCCTTCATTACCGAGTGCCTCGCACCTGGTGATGCTAAGTTACTGTTTTCTGAATGCTGCTGAGTGAACCACGAATAAGAAGATCCAGGCTCTCATCTTGATTTAGCCATTCAATTTCTAAGAAAAGGTCACTCCTTCTCTCTATACCTTGTCTCTCTGTTGTTTCGTTTTGTTTTCCTTATGAAATAGGTTTTGGCCTCGCTCATGGTCTTCCAGACCTATCTTCAGTCGCAAAACCATCCTGGAAGACCCTGATACAGAATGAAAGCAGAGCTTTTCTGGCTGCTGTTGGGAGGAAGTTCCCTGGTGAATCTGACCCTTCACTTACTTTCATGGTGCTCCCTGGGGGCCTCCCTGAACCCTAAAGTTACTCAGACAGTTTCAAAAGCATTCTTCTGGATGCCCTTCAAGTTCTACGTTCCGTAATTATCAATAAACTGACAGGTGAGGTGTTCCCTTCCCGAAATAGAGAAAGGGGCTCCCGTCCTCTCTCCTCTCTTCTGGCCTTGCTGTGCTGCTCAGCAGGGGAGGCAGACAACCTATTTTTATCCCTGGTTCTTGGAAGGTTTATTCTGCAGTCAACATGATTTCCCAGCCAAGAAAAAGCTTCCTCTGCTTGTCTGTCCTATAGCAGATTAAAAGTTCTGAACCTCTGACTAGCACCAAGGGAGTGCTCTCCAGGGGAGATTTTTGCAGGAGGAAAGCAGGACATCAGACTGTCACCTTGAGGCTGTATCCTTGGCCCTTGGAGCAGCCTGGCGGGGGGTTGGGAACATAAAAACCAGAGATGCAGCCCATGCCACGTGCTCACAGCCTGGGGAATCCTCTTTATTGGGTCTTCCTACCCCCACCCCCCACCCCTGTGTGCAGGCTCCCTGTGATTCAAGTCCTCTCTCCTCTGTACTCAGGCTCCCTTCCTCAGGTACTTGGAATCTAGCTTCTGTTGGCTGCTTTGGGACTAGGACCCCACTGGAAGCCATTACTCAAAACGATTGCCAGGTTCCAAGTTCTCTGTTCCATGACAGTGGCTGCTCAAGGACACCATCTTTTGGGATCCTTGCCTCTGACCAGCATAAAGACAAGACTCAGGTTGGAAGGCAGTCTTTGGAAATGGGTCTTCAAGGATGTAGGTGTCTGGGTGTGACTAGAATCCAGCAATCGAAGGAAGGAAGGTGACCAGTCTGTTCAAAGTCCCAGGCCTGACTATGCTGGAGTAGAGGGTGACAGGAGTAGATCAGAACCATCTTCTCTAGTGATCTCAATGGAGAGGGAGCCCAGGCAAGACCCACTGTGTCCTCCTTGTGAATGTGCATCCACCCAGGAGGAGGGGTCTGTAGACAGAAACTTTAAGGGACGCACTTCAGGGGTGAGGCTGAAGGGCAGCTTGCCATTGAAGGAACAAGCTAAGGGATTTTTGGCTTTTGGTGGATGAAAGTAGACCCACAGGCCAAAGCCAACCCACCTTCATGAGAAGCAGTATTAGTCAGCTTTCTGTTACTATAACAAATACCTGAGATAATCAACTTATAAAAAGAAAAGGTTATTTTGGCTCACAGTTTTGGGGATTTCAGTCTATAATCAGCCCTGGTGCTTTAGGCCTATGGTAGCACATCATGACAGAATAAATGCTCACCTCATGACCAGGAATTGAAAGAGAAGAAGACTGGGATCCCCCATACCCTTCAAGGTCATACCTCCAGCAATTTGAAGACCTCCCATTAGGCCCCACCTCTTAAAGGTACCACCACTTCCCAATAGCACCACGTATGGGCACCAAACTATTAACACATGGGCCAGATTCAAACTATAGTAGAAGCCCTTGTTTGATGCCAGCAAGTTAGCCCCAGGTTGGAGTGGATGCTCCAGTCTTTCCATAGCCATGGCTACACTGGGCTTCATAGCAGTGTGCTGATCCCAAGTGTGCTGCTCCAGGCAGAATAACATCCACCTTGTTTAAATCCAGCTATAAGTAACTTCATATCCTGGTTACAGGGGTACAATCTTCTAGAAAAACAGTTCTTATTTAATTGAAAGAAGGGGCTTGGTAATTAAAGTCTTAACTCCAAGGTGGAGAAAACAAACAAACCCAGTGCTTACCTTGACAGCGACCCAAGAGCTACTGATGGAGCATTATCTGAGGTTTCTGAGGCCTCAGGGATCAAAGAAGGTTCAAGTTGGGAAGAGAACAGGAGACACTGAGACCTCTTACCTTAACAGATGGGGATATGAAAGCTCAGAGAGGTCAACTGACCTGTTCAAAATCATGCTGTCAGTTAAGGGTGCTGTCTTGAAAGTCTGAGCTCAGGGTTCCGTGAGGCAAAGGCCGTGGGTTTTGGTATCAGACACATCTGGCACTGAATCTTGACTTTGGTCCTTTCCAGCTACTCGGTTTCAAGCAACTTAACTTCCTATAC